AAAAAAAAAAAAAAAAAAAAAAAAAAAAAAAAAAAAAAAAAGGAAAAGAAAAAAAAAATAGAAAGCAAATTAAAAAAAGAAAAATTTTTCAAGAGGAAAAAAGAACAAATGACATACAAAACAATCAGAAACCAATTGACAAAATGATAGGAATAAGTCCTCACTCATCAATAACAACCTTGAATGTAAAGAGTTTAAACTTCCCAATTAAAATATACAGCCTTGCTTAGCCAGGCATGGTGGCACATGCTTGTAATCTCAGCTACTCAGGAGGCTGAGGCAGGAGAATCACTTGAACCCTGGAAGTGGAGGTTTCAGTGAGCCGAGATTGTGCCACTGCACTTCAGCCTGGGCAACAGAGCAAGACTCTGTCTCCAAAAAAATACAAGTAAATAAATATATATACATACACACACAATTATATATACATATACATACATATACATATATATATACACATATATACATATATATATACACATACACATATATACATATATATATACACATACACATACACATAGGTCACATCCTCTCCTCTTTAAAACCTATCAGGGATTCCATTACACCTAGAATAAAATCCAAAGCCTTTCCCTTGGCCTCTCCTTCTCCCTGTGTCCCATTTCTCAGACCAATTAGGCTGGCTCCTACCTCAGAACCCAGTCTCTGCTCCAGGGTTAGTTACTTCCTCTGAGGCCTTCCCTGGCCCATCAAGCTGAAACAGGTTTCCATGCACTACAACAGGAAGCAGAATCCTGATTCCTTAACCTTCTCACCACCAGAGACGACTCCTCATAGTCTTCTTTACATGGAGCCTGGTCACCTCACTGAGCTGATCTGATTCCAGAACACAGAGACCTGCTTCTTTGGCCTGTACAACCTGGTTTCAGGTAAGGGTAGCTTCTCCTCAGGTCAACTAAAATTTGAAGAGCGCTCCCAGACCTTCCAGGGCTTCCACCTGGGACTGGTGGCCAAGTGGGTAAAGGAACCTGACAACAGGAAGGTGATTAAATAGGAGTATCCCCAGAAGAAGAAGAGAAAAAAAGACATGTTCCCCAAAGAGAAGAAAGTAGAAGAACCATAAGACTGATGGCCAAACTCCTCTAGAATATGGAGATTGGGGGCAGAGGGACCAGGGGCCAGAAAGTCACCAGAGGGCCTGATCTGAAGGAAAAATAAGCAGAGATGTTACTGAAATAAGGGGGGAAAAGATTGAAAATTAGGAGACCTGGAGAGCCCCTATTTATGCAAATTCACTTTTTTCTGATGTAAACACAGTAGTGAAGTCAAAGTAGAGAAGCAGGGAGACCTGCACTGCGGAAAAGAGAAAAGATTGAAAAGAAGATCCAGGATGAATTCAAAGGAGGGGTGAAGGCTGCAGAATGGACTCCTGAAGAGAAGGGATATCTTGCCAGAACCTGAGACTTCTCCAGGTTGGGATGAAGTTATTGTTCTCTCAGAAATGTCAGAGCTTCTGCCTGTAAGACAAGTGCTATGGTTCGAATGTGTCCACCAAATTTCATGTCTTAGGGACTTATCTCCAATGTGATGGTGTTGAGTGGCAGGTGGGAGGTGATTAGGCCATCATGAATGGATTAATGCCATTATCTTGGGAGTGGGTTTGTTACCCATGGAGTATGTCCAGGTTCTCGGTGTCCTGAAGAAAGAATTGAACAAAATGCACAAACGTAGCGAGGAAAGAATGAAGTAACAAAAACAGAGATTTATTGAAAATGAAGGTACACTCTACAGAGTGGGGGTGGCCTGAGCAAGTGGCTCAAGAGCCTGGTTACAGAATTTTCTGGGGTTTAAATATCTTGTAGAGGTTTCCCATTGGTTACTTGGTGTACACCGTATGTAAATAAAGTAGTCGCCCACAATCAGTCTGATTGGTTGAGAGTGGGGACATCAGCCGCTGAAGTGAAGTTAGAAAGTTACACCCTACGCAAACTTCTGATTGATCCTGGAAAGGCTGAAGTGAAGTTACAAAGTTATACTACTATGCAAATGAAGACTTGGCCTATGACCAACATAATTGGTTGTGGGAGGGGACCAATTAAAGGTACTTTCAATTTTTCATCTGCCATGCAGAAAAAGGTGGGGGCAGTCACAAAGGGAGTAGCCTCTAGTCCTTTTGTTACTTAGTCCTTAAGTTGGGGTTTTCCTTTTAATTTGGTTCTAGGTTAGTGTAAATCAGCTTTAGGTTCCCTGCTTACAGCCCCTATTCTCCTGTTTATTATAAAAGAACAAGTTTGGCCCCTTTTTGTCTCTCTCTCATCCTCTTTGCCCTTTCACCACATTATGATGCAGCAAGAAGCCCCTCACCAGATACTAGTGCCATGATCTTGGACTTCACAGCCTCCAGAACTGTGAGGAAATAAATTTCTGTTCTATGTAATTACATAGTCCGTGGTACTTTGTTATAGCAGCACAAAACAAACGACAACAAGCAACAATGATGTGAACAGAAAGAAAAATGGACATGACAAATGAACATTTTTTGTCCAAATTAGGTCCACAAGACTTTATCTGCACCATCCAGACCCAAATACCTTAAGATTTTGGTAGTTTATTTGGTAGCAAAAACTGACTTTAATTGCCATGAGGATATTTAGAGTCTTACATTCCACTTAGCTGATTATTCACACATATCACAGCAAAAGTATAAACGTGTCTGATTACCATTTCCTGCTCCAGATTCTGTGATGAGAGCTTACAGAGTATGAAGGATATACATGGTATAACTTTTCTGAAATCTTAGATTGAATTCCAAAGCATATCTGGGCTTAAGGGACTGTGGATTTGTATTTTAAGGTGGTAGGGGGGTTGTTCTCCATGGCAGTGAAAGAAGCTGTGAGCTGCCTTGGGCTTTGGCATATTTCCCTATCACGCAGATAAGAAGCTAGTTCAGTCAGTGTAGATTTGGCAGATTTGTGGATGGAAAAAACTGGTGCTCCCTGGAGGAGGGAAGCAGATTGAGGAATTACTGACACCTTCTAGGGGGTGACGATCCCAGATGTGCTGGTGAAGCACAGATAGGTTCTCTTCATGCCTCCGCTACCCTGGCCTCGACCAAACTGCAGAGGGAGAAACTCAGGTGAGAGTGAGAAAGCACAAAGGCACTTTCAGTTAGGTTTGTATCGGTGTGATCGTCACTTACCACTCATTTATTCGTGTATTCACACATTTATGCATGTTTAATTCATAGATCAAACTGGAGGGTCCACAAACAACCTGAAGATCTCGTCTGGAGGGAGACTGCAGTGAACCCAAGATCTCTCAAATAAGCGCATTGACATAAGAAGTATTAGAAAAGAATGAGCACAGTGCTGTGAGAGCAGCTACCAGGGGGCTGAACTGGGTCCCCTCGGCCAGGCTTCCAAGTCGAGTCGCCAGCTGGGTGGGACCAGAAGACGCTCTAGGCCTCGCCCAGGATCCCTCCCTGAGGACAAGCGGAAGGCAGGGTCCTCTCTTTTTCCCTCTTGTCCTTCAGCGTTCGCGGGACCCGGATGATAGATCCGCCGTCCAAGCGCCCAGCTAGGATCCGCGGGTGCAGCTGGCCCCTGCCACTTCCGCTTCCGGTCGTGGGGCGGGGGTTTCCGGTTGTCGGAGGCGAGGCTTCGCTGCTGTCAAGGGGCGGTGCGGCCCGGAAGCGGCAGCGGCGGCGCGGAGACAGCCCGGCGGGCCATGGCGGCGAATCTAAGCCGGAACGGGCCGGCGCTGCAGGAGGCCTACGTGCGGGTGGTCACCGAGAAGTCCCCAACCGACTGGTGGGCGGCGAGGCGGATCGGGGTCGGGCCAGGGGCTGCTACGGGGGTGGGTCTGTCTGGGGCGAGCTGGGGACGCGGGAGGAGCCGGAGCTCCAGCGCGGAGTGGCGCCGCCGCAGGTGGCCGGGGGCTTACCTATCTCTCCCCTCCATGCCGCAGCGGGAGTGCTATCTCACCCTCGTCACCCCTTGCCCCGCCGATTGTGGACAGGTTAAACCTGGCTGGGGGGACCCAGTGAGTCCTGCCCCTCCCCCTGCCACTCGCCACCCAGTGTGGGCTCCGCGGGCTTCCATGTTGGATCCTCGGCCTGATTGTGCTTGCTAGCTTCGCCAGGCTCTTCTTTCCAGCCCTGGGACTTCCCTGGAGAAGGGGGTCCTGCACAGCCCTCCCTAAGAAGGCGGAAGCCATGTCTGGTTTCTTGCAAACGCCGTATTCAGGGATGGGCCTTTGAGAGCGGTCTGGCAGCCGGGCTGGGAACGTGAGCCTTGCTCTGGGGGCTTCAGATGAGGAGCTCCGGGATCTGGGTTCTTGGTTCTTTGCGAACGTGGACTTCAGAACTTCCGTTTGTCCAAAAAGTGTACTCTTTCCTGTGCCTGAGCCATGGGAACATGTACGAAAGTAGGAGGCTTGCTATCTATTTGGGAAAAGGTCCCATTTTCCCTCCGCCACCCACGATATCCTCACTTTCCCCTTTGCTTAACTGTATTTAGTGACCGGTTTTGGGAAATTCCAGTTCTGAGAAATATGCTGAGTATGGTGGGCTAAGGTGACCAACTTTGGGGAATAGAAACTGGGCATTGGAGGCTGAGTCGTGCAGGGGCCACGCTGTGGTCAGCACTGAGGGCCTCCCGACTGAGTCTTCCTCTTGTGTGGGGGCCATCTCCACTTTTATAAGTGCTTTCTCATCTCCTCTGCACATCCCTAGTGCCCAGCACAGAGCGGCTTTTATACAGTGTACCTTTGTGATACTGACGATGTTGTAGCTTTGCCTTTTTTTCAGTCCCGGGCCATTAGGGGGAAGAGCTTTAGAACACCAGTTGCTTGGGTCTGTGAGGTCTCTGTAGACTCTCCTATCAGATCTGGGTGATAGGATGATCAGGTCTGGGTGCCCTGGATGGCACTTGTGCCAAACAGCATATCTTCTGTTTGGGAGGCATCTAAAGAAGGGTGTCTCTTCACTTCCTTGGTAGGGTTTTCTGCCTGCTTTATAATCCCTCAGAAAATTTACCCACATGTCAGTCACTGTTGCTTTTCTAAGGAGAGTCCCTAGATGTCAGCCCCCTGTTTTGCCTCTCTCCTATTCCTGTTCGTGTTTCTCTTAGACCCCTCCTGTTACTTCAAACCCAGTCAAAGGTATCTCTGCAGTGAGTGCTCCATTTTCATGTCCACATGTTACCATTTGGCTTTAGAACCCAGAAGAATCTTTGTGCCTCTTCAGCCCTGCCCAATTAAAGATTTTGCTTCTCTACATGCTCTTGATCATTCTGTTTACCCTTGCCAACTTACCTGGGAGCCTCCTGGCCCTCCTGATCTATTTCCCTTCTAGGTCTCTCTTCATCATCTGTCTTCTCAGGAACCATCACTGATTTGGGATGATGCCTCACAGCCCATCTGGCAGTTTGGGCTTCCCTCTTCAGACCTCCTGTGTTCCTAGCCTTTCTTTGGTCTGCTTACCAGAGCTGTCTGCTACCACTCCTGGCCTCACATGTTAACCCACCACATCTACTCTCTGTCCCTCATGAGGGTTATGGAGCCTACTCCTCTTTACCCTCACAAAGTCAGAACATACCAGCTTGTAAGATTTGAGGAAGAGGCACCTAACTGAAAGTGCCTTTGTGCATGAAGAACCTGTCACTGGACTCATCTGCCCAGACAGCCATGCCCTGCCCCCTCCCTACCTCCAGGCTCCTGCAGCACTGTAGGTTGTGTCACTCAGCAGCATAACCCACTGGCCTCCACCCTCATTGTCACAGCCATTAAGGTAGTTACTCAGCAGATACTGTGTAGCATATTCCCGCACACTGCGGAAAATATCTGGACCATGTCACTTCCGTGCCTGTAACTCTGCAGTGGCTTCCTGTTGCACATTAAATAAAGCCTAGACTCCTTGCTCTGCTGATGACCCAGAACCTACCACCCCTCCCATTTACCACACTGTGGCCACACCTGTTTGTCGCCACTCTGGCTTTATTTCTTTTCCTCAAACTTACAAGGTGGTTCCTCTTTGGGATCCTTGCTCTGCTGCATCCTCTGCATAGAGCACACATCTTCCACATGGTCCCAGGCGGCTCCCCAGCCTTCACTTCTTGGCTGCTCTGAGGCTGCCTTCTCAGAGAGGCCTTCCTTGATTCCTGGCTTCCTGTCTGTAGGCACTTTTTCTCATCTTTCTGTTTGACTTCCTTCAGAGACATACCCACACAACATATGCTGGAAATCCTTAACTTTTCTTGTCACCTTTCTCTCTTACTAGAAGGGTGGGGTGGGCCTTCTCTTTGTCCTTGGTGCCTGAGGCACAGTTGTTATGTGTAGCAGATGCTTAGATGAAAGGTGGACTGAGAGTAAAAAGTGGAGGTATCAGAGGAAGAAGAGGTGGTCTCTAATTTGGTGGGTCATAAGAGGTTTCACACACACAGTGCTGGCATTGGGGAGGCCATATAGAGTGGGGAGCCGCCATGACATCAGCTCTCCGTCTTGGATCGTATTGTTCTCACCTGGTTCATGTTTCACCTCCTGCACCTGCTTCACTCTGATAGTACATTCGTGTTAGGTGTGTTTTTGTTTTTTTGTTTTTTTTTGTTTTTTTTTTCTGTTAGGGAGTAAGTTCCATGGGCAGGACCTTTTAGGGATTGTTCATAGCTTCATTCCTATCATTAGTAAGCAGTAGGCTCTGGGTACTTATTTTCAGAAGGAATGATTGAATTATAAGATGCTTGACACTCCATATTCCTTGCTGTTCAGAGGCCCGTGCACTATGTTTTTTCATGGTGATTTGAAACTTCCTTTGCCCCTCTTTCAAAGGGCCTCTGAAGTGGGAAAGAGCCTCTGAACTGGGAACATTCTTATTTTATTATTACTTTTTTTTTTTTAGATGGAGTCTTGCACTGTTGCCTGGGCTGGAGTGCAACGGCGAGATCTTGGCTCACTGCAACCTCTGCCTCCCAGTTTCAAGCAATTCTCCTGCCTCAGCCTCCCGAGTAGCTGGGATTATAGGTGCCTGCCACTATGCCTGGCTAACTTTTTGGATTTTTAGTAGAGACTGGGTTTCACTATGTTGGCCAGGCTGGTCTTGAACTCCTGACCTCGTGATCCGCCCACCTTGGCTTCCCAAAGTGCAAGATGTGTTTACAGATGTGAGCCACCATGCCTGGCAGCTGGGAACATTCTTAAAGGTGGCCTGGGGTAGAGGGGAATGCAATCAGAGAGGTAGGCGGCAGGCATTGAGCTTGGTTCTTACTAGTTGCTGAGTCCCCCCCGCTTTTTTTTTGAGAGGAGTTTCGCTCTTGTTGCCCAGGTTGGAGTGCAGTGGCATGATCTTAGCTCACTGCAGCCTCCCATGTTCAAGTGATTCTCCTGCCTCAGCCTCCCGAGTAGCTGGGATCACAGGTGTGCGCCACCATGCCCAGCTAGTTGTGTATTTTTAGTAGAGACAAGGTTTCTCATGTTGGCCAGGATGGTCTCAGACTCCTCACCTCAGTTGATCTGCCCACCTCGGCCTCCCAAAGTGCTGGGATTACAGGCGTGAGCCACCACAGCTGGCTGAGTCCCTTCTTGCAAGAGCTGGGTTGAGCTGCCATCTTCTGTTCCCTGCTACTTGTGCCAGCTCGCTGTCTTCTGGCAGCCAGGGCTTTGTGACCATCAAGAGGAACGGGCTTTTTTCATCCAGCGAGTTCTACCAGCTCTCGCTGGCAGTGTACAATCTCTCAAATCTTTCTCTTGTTTCTCTGTCGTCTTTTCTCTAGTTCCTTTTCTCTGAGTGTTTCTTGTTCAGTGTTTCTCTCCTTCTGTATTCTGTCTCCTCACCCGTTAAGCAGTGGCTCTTTCCTGGTGGCCTGTTTCCTCCCTACCAACCATATCCTCTGGGCATGGGTCTAATTTCTTCCATCTTTCTCAGACATAAGCATTTCTACCCCGTGGCATTGGCAAAGCCCTAGGGAAGCCAAGTTGAAGCTGATAGGGTTCCTGTCCGACTGGAGCTTCTGTCTGGCCTGCCTCAGCAGGCCTGTGCTTTAGAGGCTGGGGAGATGACACACACTGGACTGGGTTTTGCCTTTGACTTGCAGTTCAGTGGGTCAGTGCTCCCAACCCATGTCCAGCAACACTGCTGGCGATGCTGAGTTGCTGCAAGGTTTGTGCTAACAGCTGGTTTTAAGTGTACTACAGGGAACCCCTCACACAGATGACTTTTTAACAGAGACCACATCTTTCCTCTGGGGCGCAAGTTTATAAACCAGAATGAATCTTTTCCAGAGGTTTTTTTTTTTTTTTTTTTTTTTTTTTTT